ATGCTTCGAGTTTGGCTGTTGTCTGTTGTCTGTTTGCTGTTGGTGTTTAGCTTTTAGCTGTTACTTTTAGTGCTTCCAGTTGGCCGGGGCCCAATTAAAAACACGTTAATTTGTCGACTTTTGTTAAGGAAGAGCTACATGCACAGAATTCAATTTGCTGAGCTGTGATTAATGGCAGTGGCAGCAATCGGACATCGAAGTAATCGCGACTCTGTCGGCAATCAATTTGGTAACGATTTGACCATTTGCTTTTGGCCAAAAAAACAGAAAAACAGAAAAAAAAAGAAAAAAGAATTACAACACCAGCAACAAAATCGAGAACAAAACAAAAATCTGTTTGCGTTATTTGATTCTTTTTGGCTTTGTTATTGCTTAGCACAAACGCAGCCATGTTTAATGAGCGACAAGCCATAGCCAAATCTAGCAACACTGAGCGAAATGCTTTTGTATGTAATGCGGAAGGTGTCGCAACCTATTTCAAATTTCAAATAATTGAACAGGTTAACACTAAAAAAAAAAATTTGTATACCATTTATATATATTTATGAACAACACTTTGCTTAAATATTCAAATATTTATTCTTAAATAAGAAAAATGCAATGCAACTATAGAATTCTGGCAAAATAAATAAAAGCAAATTCATGGAGTGCATACAGTATTTCGCTGAGTGTATTATACATAGGCAGCGTCTTCAGCTCTATGTGGCTATGGCATGTGATTATGAGCAGCAAACAGCGGTCTCAGCTGCCAGTTGGCAGTTGGCAGTTGCCAGCCCGCAGCTCAGTAGCTACGGTTCTAGGCACAGTCACAGTCAGTCAGTCAGTCAGTCAGCGAACTCACACACACACACACACACACACACACACAGCAATGACTACACACCCTGTAAGTGGCAGCTATGCATGATTCTAATTATTATGTATAGTAGAATCTCTGGCTGTAGACAATGCAGCAGAACCAAAGAACTCCAAAGTACTAAAGAACCAAAGAGCAGTCAAAGCCATCGTCACCGCTGTGGGGTTCCATTGTTAGTGGTGCCAGAAGACAACAACAACGACAACAACAACGACAACAACAACGACAACAACAACGACAACAACAACGACAACAACAACGACAACAACAACGACAACAACAACAACGACGACGACGCAGTAGATGATGAAGAAGAAGAAGAAGTTCAAGTACCCTGGAAAGCATTAAGCAAGATCTGAAGCATACCCACATACGACCACTATATATATATATATATATATATATATAAGTGTAGGAAATGGCTGTTAAGATCGCTGGAAGAAAGTGTTGATAAAGAAAAAAAAAAGAAAAGCATACAGAAGATGTTTATCAAAGGCAATTGATCAGATAAGTTGACTGCTTAACGGTTCAACGGCTGCATAGATACTCTGATAAGAAACAAACAAACAGTTATAATGGAAACAATTGTATCAAAACTAAAACAATTTGCGAACATTTACCAGAACAGTGAGTATGCATAAATATTTAGACAGTTTGCTGAAATTCCAACTGCAAAATGAGTCCAAACAGCAAACGATTGAAACAAATACATTGTATACAGATGTATAGATGTATGGATGTATGTATGTACGTATGTATGTATGTATGTGTGTATGTATGTATTTTCAGTTTCAGTTATGAGTTGGAAAAGCCAATCAATTAGCGGATGAGCGCCAATTCCAGCTGGGAATGAGTGAAAAATCAATGTAATATTATCACACTGTGCACACACACACACACACACACACACACACACACACACACAGAGAGAGACAGAGATTGAGTCAAATAAGAAATTTAGAAAGGTCCCATAAAGGGAATGAGATCGTTTCAGATGAAAGTGAGTGGAAAGACGGGAACATGAAGCTCGCATCGATGTGAATGGAAATTGAACAGCATGGGCCACCGCCAGGTGAATGAAAGGCGAGCAATCAGAATGCTCTCAGCTAGCTGCCACTGCCACTGCCACTGCTCTAAGCTCTCTCACTGCAATCACATGAAAGTACAACAACAACAGCAACAACAACAACAACAAGCAGCAGTAGCAAATGAGAACAATTGTTTGGGAACACAAAATTCATACAGTTCAAGGCTTAACTGAATTATAGAACCCTGTTTACACATAAGTATAAAGAATGCTGCTGTTGAATCTTGTTGTTGTTGTTGTTTTATTTTTTTTAGCTTTATATATGTATGTGAACCTTAAGCCTCAGACAGCTGCTGCTGCTGCTGCTGCTGCTGACACTTTTCATAAAAGGGGTTGAGGTTGGGGTTGTCTTGCCCTGCTCAGCCATGCCCTGCCCCCTGCCCCCTTTGGCCCGTAGACCAGTATTGTATTGTGAGCTTTTATTTAGATATATATATATATATATATATATACATATGCGTATATATATATATTATTTGCGTCGTTGGGTTCAAATACCTTGAGCTGTTTTATGAGCATGCCCGGAGAACCATCTTGTTGTTTTCTGTTTTGTTATTGAACAAATCAAAAAAATGATTATAAGAAAAGAAAACAACAACAACATATTTCAACATTTCAACATTTGAAGCGCTTTTGCGTGCGATGCAAATGTATAAAATTCAATAAACTGGGAAACCAGTTTATCACTTACTCCGTTGCTGTTGTCCAGTGAAATGTGTTTAACAAAAGTTGCCAAAAAAAATCAAATATATAAGAAATAAAACAAAAATCAACAAAAACAAGAGAGCAGACTTTTCTTTGCAATGTTGAATATTCAATACCCTTCCAAGACCTATATATATATATATATATATATATATATCTAAATGCTGACCACAATCTTGTGGCAAATCAAATTGTTTTTTTTTAATAGGCTTTTGGCAGCACAATCACAGTCGCAAGATGCTTGTTTGGATTTCTCAAGAAAATCAATCAAATGTATGTTTCTCAGTCAATTATATTTAACATAAAACGATCACATCCGTTGGACTTAGATATACATATATATATATATATATATATATGTACAGCAGTAAGCAGTCGGATCTAAGCAAAATGAAATTCAGATAGATGGATTCTATTATTATTGCTAGCTTAGAACATTTCTGGATTTATGGATGAGTTTGCTTTTCATAAATGAAGTGACAAAAGCGAACAATACGTTTTAGACAAGAGTATTATAAATAAAAGCTGTCGCCATTCCAGAGCGTTACGATCACAATAATAGCTACAAGTTCCAAGTTCCAATGATCATCTGCCAACAAAACCATCATCATCATCATCATCATAGTCATACTAATCATCATGAGCATCGCAGTAATCATCATTATCATTACTGTTTGTCGGCACTTTTAAACTGTTTGCGTTGCGTTTGATTTTTATATGAGATTCAATTAAAAATAAAAAATAAATATTTTCAGCAGCAATTTTACAAAATTTAAACATCTGTACGCACGGATAATGGGATGGCGGCCAGGGGGCGTAAGGGGGGGGGGGGGGAGGGTGGTAGGTAATGGTTTGCTGTTAATCAATTTTCGCAATAGATTTTTGCACTTGCCGTTTTGGCACTAAAACTTGTTGAGTTCACAACAGCAACAACAGCACAGCAACAGCAACAACAGCACAGCAAAAGCAACAACAGCACAGCAACAGCAACAACAGCACAGCAACAGCACAGCTACAACAACTAACTAGGCAATTTATCTTGCTGTCTATGCACACATCTATATGTATATGTCCGCATATCCGCACATCCGCATAGATGTGTTATCTGGTGTTGTTTTGGTTCGTTTCAAATTACTTAATATGCATTTAGCAGCTGTGGTTTTTGACCTTAAGATACACAACAAACAGATACAGATACAGATACAAAATGACTGACCAAAAAAAAAAAAAACGATCTAAAAGCAAGTGGCACGTTTCCGTTGCGGCTTTGAGGCGGCAGCAGCAGCAGCAGCAGCAGCAGCAACTTCAGCAACAAGCATCAATAGATAGTTATGCGGCCAGATAGTTAGATAATTATTATTGTTGATGGCTCTCAGATGATGTTGATGGAATGTTAGCAACAGCAGCAGCAGCAGCAGCAGCAGCACAACTTAAGTTCTCAGCTGGCAACAATTTTAGTTTTCCAGATACAAATACAGATTTAGATACAGATACAGATACAGATACAGATACAGTTGCTGATACAGATGCAGATACATATACAGTAGACGCAGATTTGACGCTGCTTTCACTGGCTAACACTAAACTCCAGTGTGGAATAACACAGCTGCAGTTACACTGTCTATCTGTCATTTTGATTTGCCGCATTTGCCGCGCACAGTGGTGCAAAGTACAAACTACACAAGTCAGATGTCAGAAGTCAGTAGTCGGAAAAACTTTACTTTTTGTGAATTTAGAGGTTATTGCTTTTGGGGCTTTTATTTTTTTTTCTTAATTTTTGTATATTTATTAAATAAATTGCCACTAAATATTTTTGAATGTTTCTCAAGGTCGTTGGAGATAATTAACATTTCGATGCAATTTCTTGGTCAGAGTGCCAAATTCCTTATAATTGCTTAGCTAATCTGAACAGTTTGTCATTGCTGCTCAGCTATTTTGAGCACTGTGCGATTTCAATAAGTTGTAAATGGCATGTGCACCACTGTGCGTGCTGCAAAATTTTGCCTTGGGGAGTTACGGGCGGTGCTGTAGCCTAAGCACCGGCAATATTTACCGTTTGACTACGAACATATGTACACACATACCCACATGGATAGATAGACATATATACACTATGCACCTTCATGTATCCGTGAGTAGCTGCATACACACACACACAGATACATATACATGTGTATCTTTGTAGCTATATATCTTTTGTCTTTATGTTGCTGCTGCTGCTGTAAGTGAATTTCAATGACGGCTAAGGCAAACGGAAGCATTCGCAGCAGTGGCATAATTAGGAAGAAGAATAGAAAGAGTGGGAGAGAGAGAGAGAGAGAGAGAGGGAGGGAGAGACAGATCACAACTTACCTAGCGACGACGACCTTAATTAGCCAGTCTTGGGCTCCATGGTTCTAGCTGCGACTGCGTACTGCGTCTGCGTCTGCGTCTGCTTCTGCGTCAACGTCAACGTCAACCAACGCGTCGTCGTCAGTTTAATTGCTCGTTGTTTCCTGTTAGTTCACATGCAGCTTAATTCACACACACACACACACACACACATACATACATTCAAAGTGCAGTTTTTTATTCTTGTCTATTTTGACTTTTTTTTTTTTTTTTTGGAAAACACAACAAAATAAAACCAAAAAAAATAAAACAAAAAAAAAATAAAAGAAACTAATATTTACTAAGCGGTTGCCCCCACACACACACAATTGCACTCGCTGCCCAATTAAAACGCCAAATGGATAAGCATGTAATGTATGTAAATAAACAATGCACACACATACACATACACGTACACATACACATACGCATACAGATGCTGATGCTGATGCAAAACAGTTGGGCGAGAGAGGCAGCGGTAAAATTGTTTAGGGCCACGAATGCGAAACTGCGGACTACGACTGCGGCAACGGACTACGACTGGCGCAGATCGACCGTTCGCCACGAAACTCGTTTTCAAACTGAGCGCTCAGCTGAGCGTCGACAGCTTTGAGCTCGCCAAAGCTCAGTAGCAAACAGCTGCGACGGCGGCGCCTCGGTCTCTAAACGAACTGAAACGAACCTTGCCAGCTACTGCAGCAGCAGCAGCAGCAGCAGCAGAGAGCACCCTCTCCCACTTTTTTGTTGTTTTCTTTTTCTATTTTTTTTTTGGTTTTTGTTTTGTGTTCGGCACGCTTCAAAACTGCATTTCACTGCGCGTACCAACCGATGTTGGGGGGACGGCGACTGCGACGGCGACGGCGACTGCAGCTGAGTTCTGGGCTGAAGCTTTGACTGGGGTTGGGCCCTATCAATTAATTTGTTGCTGCCATTGTTGTTGCTATTCGTAGCCAGCGATGCGATGTGCAATCAGAACTATAGATAGATCTTTATTTTCTTTTTTTGTTTCTATTTTTGCCATATAGAGCCGGATACGTTCATTGCTGCAGATGACTACAAAAAGCTGGAATCCATTCAATGGTGGGAAACTGCATATATTCAAAGCTTAATCAGCCTCGATTGCCGCACAGTTTATAGGCAGTCCTTAAAATGGTATTTCGATAGTTGTATGATCTACGATTGTTTCCAGTTCGGATTGGCATTTTTTTGGAGTCCTCTCAGATGTCTCGGGATGTCCTTAAGCGATTCACTTCACTGCTTTTTAATGCAATGTAGAATTCTACACCAACTTTTGCTTTTTAAGCTGCACAAGATACACAACGCCACATTTAAATTGACTTTTTCTTTCGAGTTTGATTTATTATTTTAAATTTCAAGTTGTTTTTTTTTATTTTTATTTTTTTTTTAAATAATTGAATTTTAGTTTTGAACTTCAAGAGGAAAATTCATTTCGCTAAGTTTATCAATTTACAATTTAGTGATCAAAAACAACGTAATCCTTAATGTGTGTGTTTATGTTTTTAATTGGATTTCAAAAGTGTTTTAATTTTAATTTTATAAAGTAAATTATGAATATCTATGTATAAACTTTAATTGTAAGAAATTTGACAAAAAAAAAGAAGATAAAGATTTGAAAGCCCACCTGCCCTGCTGGGTGAGGGATTGTAAGTGGACGATTTTTCTAGCTGTAATCGAAATACGCCTTTTATTCATATTTAAAATTCATCATCATCTTGTTGTTGTTATTGGTTGTTGTTGCATAATGATTAAAAGTGATAAATTCCTAATAGTTCGATCTTGTACATGCTATTCAAAGTATTAATGTATGTATATCAATTATATAACTACGTATGTGGTTTTTTTTTTATTATTTTTTAATCTATTAGAATTTCTATTAAAGCTGATAAATGTACTTGATCATTTGTTGTTGTCAGTTTTTAAATTTATTTATGTTTTTTTTTTTTATTAATGTCATATAATTTGTTAGCTTTTAACAATTTCAATGTGAAATAAACTACAAAATGCACATCCATTCGATTTCTATATGTATACTTATAATCCATTCCCCCAACCCCCACCCCATACCCCTCTCTCAACAACCTGTCCTCAACACTGACTGTGTGTGTGTGTGTGAGTGTGTGTGTGTGAGTGTGTGTATCCTATCTGTGTCTGACAAAAATGCATGTAAATATGCTGTAAATAGTTGAGAAAAATGCGATTTTTATTTTTTAAATTGATTTTGAACTGCTTTACTGCAACTACGATTACGATTTAAATGTAATTTTTTACTTTTAAGTTGGTTTTTACCTTTTACTGGACAAATGACAATTGCAAAATGCCATAAAATGTATAAAGTTATAAGGTTTCTCTTCTCTTCTCTTTCTTTTAAAGCTACAAATACAATTAAATAGTTAATATTATACGTAAGGCAATTTCATTGTTAATTGATGAATGAACGAATCAAAGATACAAAAAAAAAAACGAAAAAAGAAAACAAATTCGAATACAAAGTGAAACACAATTCAAAAGCCTCTCATACACAATAGATAATCTAGTGTGAACCTAAGCTAATTTAACTTGCTACCAATTGCAATATAATTCTCTCTAAAAAATAGTCTAAACATATTTCATATGCTTCACTAGTATTTATTAATATTATTTGCTAAATTTCTTTTGGCTCAATTGTCTGTGTTTGTGTGTGTGTGTGTGTGGGTGTGTGAGTGAGTGTGTGTGCGCCCTATGACCCGCCCAATTAGCTGTTTGCTAAATGTGTGTTTGTTAAATAACAGTTAATAAAGCTTTGCCTCCAGGCAACTCCATTCGATGTCTCATTTTTCTCTAATATGCTTTTGGCTGTTCATTTATTTCTAGGTTAGAGCAATGTTTATTTGTTTTTAGTAATTTGTTTTTTGTTTTTTTTTTTCTGTTTGGCTTTGTGGTCTTGGCCTGGCTATTGTAGTTAGTACGACTTGTTGCCCAGCTGTTTGGCAGGAGTCACATTGGACTTGGACGCAATTAGACTAGTAGCGTCCATCATTCGTTTTTTGGGTTGTTTCACTACCTACAAATTGTATCAAAAAACTTAGCATAAGTTTTACATAATTCTTCTTCTTCTTCTTCTTCGTCTTCATTGTCGTTTGATCGTATTCGTTTTGATGGATTTTCGCTCAATGTATCTAAATATCAGTTAAAACAATTTGCAGACCATTCTCACATTGGCAGCAATTAAACGTTTGCAGTGGCAACGCACCACTTTTCGACTGCCAACTGTCGACTGTCGTCTCTCTCCTGGTGGCTGCAGTAACAAACTGCATTAACACATTGGAAACACTTTGAGATTGAACATTGATATATTTGAAAAGTTTACTTGCGTTTTGTTCAATTATTTCCCAGTAACTTTCTGCATTACAATGGAAACTGTGCTTTTTGCTATTTACTATTGACTACGGCAGACTAAGACAACCAGCAGTAAGTAGCCTAATGCATAGCAGTGGAAATGCACACTGAAATTGTTGTGATTTAGTGCCAGGACGGGAAAGCTTCAAGTTCTCTTGGTTGACTTATTGCTGCACAGTTACTGCTCTAGCGCCAAAGTAAAGCATCTCTCTCTCACTCTCTCTCATTCTCTCTCTCTCTCGCTCTCTCTCTTTCTCTTGAGAAATCTGAAAACTAAACTAACTCTTAACTGAATGAATATATATGTACGTAAAACAATGAAAGCTTTACGCTGGCAAATATCACACATCTGTTCGCAGATACGTATCTATCTAAACATGTGAAAGAAAAAGAGAGAGAGAGACAGAGAGAGAGAGAGAGAGAGAGACATAGTGTGTGTCGAGTAGCTGGGTTTCTAGCCAGCGACTATCTGGGATACGGAGTTGGTGCGTCTTCGTTTGGTGATTTGCTTCCACAGGCGGCGATTCAGTGAGGGCTTGTCCTGCGGGAGTTAAACATAATTAGCATCAAGTCAAACCATGCAACAACAGAAATAAGAAAGTTAATACAAAAAATCATCATCAGAATTTACGAAGTGCAAGTCGCCTTCATTCAAAACCCTGATGATGATTTTCGGTTGTGAAATTTGTAAACCAAGGCTGCAAACCGACTCGAATCGAACTGAACTCAATGAAACAGTTCTCAAATAAATAGCTGAATTTGAACAATACTTTTTTGATAAATATGATTGTGATTTAATTGGATTCTTTTCGAATTAGAAATAGAAATTAGATTTGCAGCCTTAGGTTTGCTGGCACTTACGTTGTCTTTGCGTGGCGACATTGGTGCCATGTCCGCATTATCCGGCCCCTGAGCTGACTGAGACTGTCTAAGCAGCTGCTGGCTGCTCGACGGTGGCAGCAACTGCAACTGCAACGGTTGCTGCTGCTGCTGCTGCTGCTGCTGTTGCTGAGAGTCGTTAGCGAATATGCTGTCAGAGTGGTTGGGATTGCTGTTGCTGCTGTTGCTGTTGCGGCGCTTGATAAAGTTAATGCTGCAGGTGGAGTGAAGAGGGGTGGGGTGGTTGGTGGGTGGTCGTGTGTATGGATCTCAGATGGAATTTGAAGATAGTAGTGCCACATGTGGCAAGGCACTTACAGGCGATTCGATTTGCCCGCTTCCGTTTCGAGGCACGCTTCAGTCATTGTTGTTGTCGTTGTCGTTGATGCTGTTGTTGTTGTTGTTGCTGTTGATGTTGATGTTGTTGTTGTTGCTGCCACTGCGTCCATCGAAATAGTACTCGTCGTCCTCGTCAGAGAGACTGCTGCTGCTGCTCGGCTCGTTGGCAAGAAACAGTCGCGTCTCGTTGCCATCGTCGTCGTCGTCTGGATCGTTGTCATTTGCGTTGTTGTTGTCGCGGATGTCGCCCTGACTTGATAGCCACTCCTCGATTGAGACATGCAGTATATCTTCTCGCGTCTCGCTAAGATTTCCAGATCGCCTAATTTGCTCGCGCCGTTGTTGCTGCTGCAGCTTGTGCTGTTGTCGGCGACGCTTTCGCTCCCGCCGCCTGCTCGACCCACATATGCAAAACTGTTCCATGTATTTGGATTTGGATGCGGGCGTTGTGGACCGACGACGGCACGAGCTGAACCACCGGCGTGCGGACTTCCGTGGCTGCTGCTGCTGTGACTCCTCTGTCCCCCGGACACATGACTGCCGGCTGTTGACAGGGCGGGACGTGGTCGCCGATTCACCGTCGGTGTATCCATCTTGGAGTTGCGTTGTTGAGAGTACGATATGACAGCCTCTCTTGGCTGCACCCGATTCGTGGCTGAACGACTCAATAAATCGCGACCCGTCAGTCGATGAAATGTGGAGAGGTCGTGCCTGCCAATGCGAAACAACAGTTAGTCCTCATTTCGCATATCGCACATTATATAGACAACCAATTAGCTGATCAATGAACACAATGAACAATTCAAATCTAAAGAGACAAGGAGCTACATCCTATATATTTGTTATGTTTTGACCGGGTACAGCTTGGTGGGTATCTTCTAGTCGGACACGCACCGGTACCAATATTGTCGTCAATCTAATCTTTTTGTTTTTGTTATATATATTTAAACATTGATCAACCTATTGTCTTCACTCTAATCTAATCAGAAATCATTTGATGAAACCATTTTATTTTCGCATCAGATCAGCTTTGAAATTATTTTCAAAAATCTTTTCAGATTTGAGATATTTGATGTGAAAGATGGGCTAAAGATTATTTGAAACTGAATAGTGGTTGTTGATATCAGACGTACCCCAGAATAGTTGTTAGATCTGGACCAGGCTCGTAGCAGATCAAGTCCTCGTCCCCGAGAATGTCGTGGTTGAGTGCCAGACGCATTTCCAGTCTTGGACTTAGACCGCAGCCAATGTGCGGCGCTGGGGCAGCGACCGACGAACGTGGACCGATTGCGTCCACTCCGGCTGCCGTTGCCGCTGCAGCTGGGCAGCTCTGTTTGCTGGTCGGGCGTATCGGCCTTGCTATCCTCGAGACTGTTGCTGATGAAGTGGTGGAGCCGGCCGGCGCTGCGGCACCCAGCAGGCAGGTCTCGATTATCGTTGACGATGGGCGTTTTGGGACGGGCACCGGTGCTGCAACCGCCAACGGCACCGCTGATCCCACTGACTGTGCAGAGATTCTGGTACTCACAGGCGTTGTCCTTGACCCGGTAACGGTTGTGGGCGAAGCGTTGACGGCGTCGACGACATCCGCCGAGTAGCCACTGTCAGCAGTAGCGCCAGATTTTCTTTGAGGTGGCTGCTGCAATCAAATTTCACAAAAGTCTCGTTTATTATTATATTTAAGATGAGCATTAAGCCGTTGATGGATTTAATGATTGTTAAATTTACCGTTTTGATTGCTGCAGCGCTTAGATTTGTCTGCGTGAGCAATAGACGACGAGGTGGCGGTGGTGGTGGTATAAATCTCGGTGGCTTGACGATGACTCTGGCGACGCTGTTGATAGTGCCGCTCCCGCTGCTGATTGTTGTAGTAGTCGATGAGGGAGCTCGACTCACCGTCGTCGCTGGTTCCTTGATTCTGCTGCTCAAAGTCGGCATCGCCGTACTCATCATCATCATCGTCGTCGTCGTCGTCATCGTCGTCGTTCTCGTCGTGCACATCGCGTATGTCGTTGATGTCGTTAATGTCGTCGTGGTCGTGATCAGTGTTGATGATGGTGCCGTGCGCAGAGACGGGCGCTGTTCGAGTAGATACTCGCAGGATGAGGCCACTAGCGGTGGCGCCACTATGGCGGTGGTGGGTAAAATCATTGTGGTGGTGGTCAACGGTCTCGGACCCAATGGTGGTGTGACCAAATTCGGTTGCAGACGCTCCTCGCTGGAGTGTGGCTCCGCATCCAAATCCATATCCATATCCATATCTAGATCCAGATCCATATCCATTTCCGGATCCTCCTGATACAGCTTGTTGTTGTTGTTGTTGTTGTTGCTGTTGTTGCTGTTCTTGCTGTTGGACGCTGCTGGGGCTGCCTCGTCGCTTGAACTTCCAGCCAAATCCTCTAGGTAGTGGCCATTTGTCGTTGCTTCCCCCTACCAATTGTTGGGAATAGAATTCAACTAATCAATTCTGGTTTTGATAAAGCATCCAGCTTGCAGTTGATGTGGTTTATGAGTGGTTCGTTTTCAATGGTTTGATTTGGTTTGGTTTGGTTTATTTTTATTTTTACTTTTTTCTTTTGTTTTTTGTTTTTTGTTGATTTTTGGAATTTTGGAGTCTCATTCGATTTGGATATCGATTTGGAATTGTTTGGGTATTTGATTGGTTCTGTTTTTTGGTTCATTCATTTGGATTGTCTATCGTTTTCAATCGCTTGTGGGTCTCTGTCCTGGCGTGTGATGTTTATGAGCTCGCAGTATTGCAGGTTTGGCTAAAGCTTCACTAATTTCACTACGACTTTCTATATATACACATATATATATATTGTATATTTTCAGTTTTATACACACGCATACATATACAATAAGTAAGGAATCAACATTATATATATATATAAAAATATCAAGAATAAATACAAGTGATTTTTGGTAAGTTTTAAGCAAAGTTTTCGACAAGCAAAGTTGTTGCAAAAATACAGTTTACACACATAGAGTGAAAAATTGAGATGTTTGATGTTTGATGTATGCAATGTGAGTTTGTGTGCGTGTGCGTGTGTGTGTGTGTGTGTGATTGATGATTGAGCGATTCATGATGTTCAAGATAGATGATGGATGGTGATGAGCAGTTGGAGCACATTTTGTTGTGATGATTATTATTATTATTATGTTGGTTGTTGTTGTTGTTGTTGCATATGGAAAAAAGACGAGAAAATAAAAGTCAATAATTGAGCAGATCAATCAAAGTAGCATTCGTTCGTTTGATTGTTTGATTGATTGCAATTGATTGCATGCAGCACACTGTGTGAGCAACATTTTAATATACACTTGCAGCATACATACAAAATAATGGCATAATAATAACAATGTTGATGGATTACGATTCAGAAGTTTTCGATTGAAAACCAACGGATTGCAGATGCTTTACAGTTTTTGAATATACTCAAAAGTTATTCCACATTCGGCGAATGTTTAGTTCAGAAAATTGAATAATAGAATTTTTGTAGGGCAGCTGCAAGAGTATTAAAGTGTCGGCTTTTGCCGAATACACAGCTTCAATATCATTGAAGGAGTACAGTGGCATACAGCTGCGGCATTGCCATGCGCCACAGTGCGGCCACTGTTGCCATGCGCCACAAAAACAAATACGTTGTGATATTTGAAACGATATTTGAAAAGAGTGCTTTAATCTGTTTGCTGATTCGGTTTGTAATTTTGTTTTTTTATTTGTATTTTTGTTTTTGTTTTTGTTTTTGATTTTGTTTTTGATTTTGATTTTGTATTGATTTGGTTCTAAATACGACCCACCTTTTTGATGTCATCGCTGTCCTGTTGGGTTTTCTCTTCGTCGCTTTCGGTCTCCTCCTCGAACAGGGGCTCAAGACGGCGTCTAAGCATTACAAGTTACGATATACGATTCGATATACGATATGAGATGCAATGAATTTTTTGTTGTTTTTTTTTTTTTTTTTTCGAATTTGTTTATAGTGATGGAATGATATAAATTTTGATTTGAGCGACATGTAGATAAATAATGTAGTATATAGCACAATACAGATGTAGTAAATACTCGTATATAATTATCTATGATTACACTCGACACTAAAAACTACAAAAGAGATGATGGGACTAATATAATTAATTTATAATTTTTTTTTTTTTAGTTTTTTGTTTTTTGTTTTTCATCAATGGTCTATACCATAAAGCTATCCCAGGATGATATTTATATATTTCGAATGTGTTGGCATCAAGTATACAAAAATGAATAACGAATTGAATTCAAATGGTTATCGAGTGGGTTTCAATGTGAATAGAGTTATAGAAAGAACGCAAGAAACACCTGTAAAAACTACACAAAAAATACCAAAACGTATAAATAAAAAGAAAAAAAATAACAAAAAGAAAAACATGTGAAAGAGGAGATATATTTATGTTCATCTATATATGTATGTACTTAATTACTTAATGAGAGAACTATAGATCAGCGTTATTTTGTTTATGTTTTTGTTTTTGTTTTTACATATATTTATTTGTATATATGTATGTAGTCTAACTAAGGCCACTAACAAATTTGCTAGTTAGATAAAAAAGATCTAGCTATATCTCTTTCTCTCTCTCGCTCGCTCTTTCTCTCTCTCTCTCTCTCTCTATGTTTCTATCTCTCTCTCATTTCTAAACATACCGTGGCAATAATCCTCGAATGGTGCTCGCCGTCATTGGCGGCGCCATCAGCAACTCATCCATCATTAGCTCCGTGTCGTCGTCATCGTTCAGCGAGGTGCTCGATTTGGTGGGTGACTGCATACAGATTACATAATTGAATATATTAAATATACATATATCTATCTATATAGAATAGCTGCAAACAAAAATGTAATGCTCTAGTCGAGAGAGCTCGACCAGCAGAAGACTTATGAAGAACAACGAATCCTGCTGCAATATTATGTCAAGGTATATTCCCATAAAATAGGAAAGCTGTAGCTTAAAGGATTTGGCTCTTTGATTGTTATCAATAATCGATTTACATGTTTTTGTTTTGCAGGCGGACAAAGTTATCGATAAAATGATATCAACTTGAAGTAAACTTATTTTTCAAATAGTGTCTAACTCTTATAGTCTTTCATACAGACGGACGGGCATGGTTAAGTCGAGTCGGCTGTTGATGCTGATTACGATTATATATATTTATATACTTGTATATACTTGATGCTTCTATTATTATACCCATAGACACTTACCGAATGCGTGTTCTCCGAGTTGATTAGCTGCATATCATCGTTGTCGCCGCCGCTGGTGGGCGTGCCCCAGACCTCCTCGCCACTGGTGGCACCCGAGGTGCAGTCATCTAACTGTTCATCCGTCTCGGAGGCGGTCTGATTGGCGGTTAGGTGCTGCTGCTCCTCATTGGCATTCCAGCGGCCCAAGTACTTGTCAATGAATGCACGCGACTCCTCGAAGAAGGACATTTTGTCGCTGACAAAGGCACCGGCACGATTCGTCCATGCACCGCTGGCTAGTATATCGCCATTGGTGAGATTGCTCCCAGCCGTGGAGCAGCCGGGCGCCAGTTCATTTAGATTATGCGCCAGCGCCTTGTCCGCCAATGCATCGTCCACATCGTCCACATCATCCACATCATCATCATCGTCGTCGTCATCGTCGCCATCGTTGTCGGCATCGTTATCGTTGAGGCCATTCTGTGTATACGTCTCGAGATCGTCGTCCACCTCGTCGGAGGGTAGCTTCTCCAGACTGGACATAGTGCCATAGCGACGCAGCGCATTGCTCATCGGCCGATAAGGTGGCTCCTCCTCCAAAGGCGACTCATCGCACGAATCCTCCGGTATGTTCTCAATGATTGCCTGCCTCGGCTGTTTCGTTGTTGTTGTCGATGTGGTTGCCGTTGTTGTTGTTGTTGTTGTTGCTTCTGTATTTGTTGTTGCACCTGCTATTGTTCCTGTACTCGTTTCTGTTCCAGCTCCAGCTCCAGTACCAGTTCCTGTGCCAGTACCATTGCCTGTGCTATGATCGAGAGCACCGCCACTGCTATTATCCCAGACATTTGTGCTGGTCTTGGTGAGGATTGCATCCGGTGTGGCTGGAACTACAGCAATCGTTGGCGCCGATGCCTTGTGTTCCATCTCGTGAGCAGCACCGCACAGTTGGGCAGCGGGCGCAAATTGTGCCAGTCCGATAAGCATCAAGGATAGCTGGTCATCCTCCTGGCGCTGCACAGCTGTTGCCATCTGCTTGGGCGACTCCAGCAGCTTGCATGTTTGCTGCTCCATTTTGTCCGGCGAGAGTTGGGACTGTGTGAAATCCTCGGGAGCACAGCGACAGTGACAGGCAGCGTATTTGGCTGGTGAGCCGGAAATAGAAGCCGAGCTCGAGCCGGACACGGTGTTGGTGGTGGCACGTAGCTCGGTGCTGCGCATAATGCGCGCCGTTTCCGTAATGGTCACAATGGCCTTGACCTGCTGATTGGCCCGTGGGCGCGCCGGCTCCTGGCTGAGATGGGCCACCATACGTGTGCGACGTGGCGGCGGCTGTGGCAGCACCTTGGGCGGGGACGCAGTAACGGATGCGGATACGGATGCAGATGCAGATGCAGATGCAGAGACGGAGGCGGATGTATGGGCGCCGTAGCAATGACCATTGGCCAGTGGCTGCGGATCTAGAACTCGTAGCTTTGTGTCGACGATGGCCACAATGGCGCTGCTGCTGCTGCTGCTGTTGGGCATGGCGCCGACGCTGTCATCGGTTGCCTCTGATTGCGACAGCGACAGTTCATCGGTGATTAGTTGGGCCACATCGCTTTCGGTGTCGCCCGTTTCTCGCCGACTACTGCTAGCGACTACCTTGGATGACAGCTCACCGGTGATGGTGCTGCTGGACATGCTAGTCACGCTGCCGGTGCCCCGTCCAGTGCCAGTGCCAGTGCCAGTACCAGTACCAGTACCAATGGCAGTGCCATCGCCTGGCCCATTGCTTGCTGCTCCATTTAGCTTGCAGCAACGATTCGGCGAAGATTGACTGTGCTGCACCTTGAGCGATGTGCACAGCAGCGACGAGGAACCGGCTGCACCACCAGCTGCCCCAACGATGCCACGTCCCCCGTTCGCCGCATTCTGCTGGCAATTCTTGTGGCAGTGACGGCACACGGCCAGCTTGTCGAGCACTATGGGACTCGAGCGCACGGTGATCTATCGGCGGCCAATCAAATATACAAAATACCAGCTCTAGCAATACCAACTAAATAAATACTACAATGGCTACAGTAGCTACAGTTTTGGGTGTGGTCCACGCTTTGTTCAATCGTCTTTGACTGAGTTACTTCGAAAAGCAATATGGTGAAGCGCATTGGTCTGGCTGAAAGCGATTAGCAACTGCATTTTCAGTGTTTCACTATATCTACGAGGTTGCACTTCAGTTAAATCAAATAGAATAGGTGCGAAGTGAATCAAGCTGACTAAATTAAAAATCACTATTCGTGTTCCTCAATTCCAGTGGAGTTTTCTAATTTTTCTGAATCTTTTTCAAAATGTTCAAACAGGCATTTGGATATTATCTACTTTTACAAAGCAATTCTGAAAAGACCACAAGAAATATGATATTTTTGGGTTTCGAATGAAAGCGGATTTACTTTGCGGAAATTGTTTTCAACAATTTAAATGAATATTTGAATATTTGAGACTCTTGTGTTTGTAGCTGCCACACCCAACTCTATTTAGATTTGCTTGTCTGTGGACTCACCTGGCTGTCCGATGTGGTGCTGTGGGATTGACTAATTTGGCTAGGCACCACCTCGACGTCCACCTCAGCTTCGGCCTCCGAGTATATGTCGGATATGGCGCTCATGCTGAGCTCCTCGACGCCGCTGAGTCGTTTGCCGCCAAAGTTTGGCTTGGCGGACAATGCGCCATTCTCTTTGGCCAGATTGAGCTCCTTGGTGCGCTTCTCCAGCTGCTGGCGCGTCCAATACGTGATTCGTTCGTCCTGCTCGCTATCGCTAAATATTAATTGCTCATCCTCGGCGCTCACATTCTCCTGGGAGCTGCGGGCAACGGCTGCCAGACGCGCCTGCTGCTGCTGCTTGTCCAGCTGGCCCTTCATCCAGTTCGCCAGATGCAGTGCACTCGACTTGGGTGTGCCCGTCTTGTTGAGTATGCGGCACTTCTCATCTATCAGCAGCTCGATCTGCTCCACGGCATGGCCATGGCCATGGCTTGTGCTGCGCGGCTGCAAGATTCGCCACCCCCACGGCTTTATTAGAATGTACAAATTTTGTATGTGTGTGAGAGAGTGTGTTCTTTTTTTTTATAGGTGACGCCACCTCATCACGCATTCCGCCCTGCCCCATCCACCCAACAGCCTTCCACCTTCCACCTACCAGCTACCATCCACAACCAAACCACACCTAGACCCACACACAGAGCTGCAGCTGCCCGACGTTGCTTGCAAATTAAAAGTTTGTGATGGGCTCAAATTGAATTGTTAACTTATTTCATTTTTTTTTGTTGCTTTTAGTTTTTAGTTGTTGTTAGGCATTGTCATAAAATTAATTTCTTTGCTCTTGTCTTTGGCATTTTGGATTCGTTTTTGGCTCTTTGACTTTTGGTATTATTTTCATTTTGCTTGTCTTTCGAGAAACAGAAACAATAAAAACGCGCGACATTATTATGACTTTTTTTTTTTTGTTTTGGCCATCTTTGATTAAAAACGCTTGCACTGTAAGAGGTTCACACTACGATAACGATAGCGATAACGATAACAAATTAAAGAAATGATGATTATAATGACAGAAGCGACAAAAGTTGTTTGCAATAGAACTTAAACATAAAATTGAGTCCATCACAATTTTTAATTTGTCAATTTTGGTTTTTTTCTATATATATAAATTAATTTTTTTTTTTTTTTTTTTTTTGGTTTTTCTGGTCAATAAATTTTGAACGCAGGATGAACCGGGACCGGGAAATTAATTTTTTATTATTTTTTTTTTTTATTTTTTTTTTTATATGTGGAACAGTTAGAACATTTTGGGCAACGTACAGAGTGGTACAAAGTGAGTGCTCGGTGGGTATTTTTTTTTTGTTTATTTGGTTGGAGAATTGGCATTTGTTTATATTTTATTTTGTTTTTTTTTTTGGTAGGAATTGAAATAAAAAGAACATCACAAGCGTTTTTAGTCAAAGAATCATTTGGTTTTTATTATTCATCGTTTCTCAACTCAACTCAACTCGACTCGACTCGAGTTAAGCAATCTTAACTCGTCTCAATCTAATATACGTATTTTTTTCACTTTTCTGGGAAGAATATATCAAAAAGGAAACAATAACAAAAACTCGTTTCAAGTTTCAAGTACATTCTAAATACATACATTGAGCGCCACTTGCCTCGCAATTATACATAGTATGTATGTAGATGTCTGTTTCGTGTGTATGTATATATAAATATATATGAGAGATTACATATTAGGTATATATAGCTTAATGCAAAGGGCAAATAAATCAACTACGGCTACGGCAACACAAATTTGCTCACTAGGGCGCCGCGCACACATGGCGTATACGTTATACATTATACATTATAATATGAAATACTAGAGAAAGAACGTTGGGAACTAGGTTCCTTTTAGCCAACTTTCTTATCTGTGTGTATTAAATCAAAATATGAAAGTATGTGTGTGCATGTTTTTCAAGCTTACATTAAATCATAGTCAAAATTTGTATAATGCAGTCTGATAGGACGACTCACCAAATGAGGTTGCACAGTGGTGCAAGCAATATGGAATTTAGCTCACAAATGATTTTTACTCATTTTGTTTTGTATATATGTATGCATATTTAGTATTTTAAATCCATCTAATATAATTAAATAACAAAGTACTATATTTTTAAATTACATTACATATTCAAATAGTTAGTAAAAATATTGTTTTATGAAAATATCACATTTGTTCGTATCAAATTAAGAACTTGGCTGTTTAGTAAAGTAATACTTCTAAATTGCTTAAGAATGTGAAAAACTATTCGAATAGAGTCCTCAAAAATAAATTAAAGTTAACAAAAAGTATTAAATACGTTATACATTCAAATATAGGGCATATTCCTAATTCTCATGACAATTAATCCCTTCTCTCAACTGTCAACTCATGACATTTTATCCCTTCCATTTTATTTTTTTTTTTTATAAATTTACGCATGTCATTTGCTACTTTTTAGTAGAAGGTAAGTACACGAAATTGAACGAAAAGTGCAACTCAGAACATGACTTGGCTCAAACTTGTAGTTTTACTTGGCTAACAGTGAACTACAAAGTACTTTGGCATGCAGTATGCAAATCCAAATTGAGAGCTTTTCCTTATTGCTCGCCATTGCGAGAGACTCAAATGATTGTGTGTGTGTGTGTGTGTGTGTGTCTGTGTGTGTGTGTGTGTGTGTGAGTGTGTGTGTCTGTGTGTGTGTGTGTGTGTGTGTGTGTGCGTGTGTGTGTGTGTTAGTTTAATTACGACTAGTTAAAAAGGCAACAAAGTGCTTGTCATAACCATAAATAATTGACATCGATATCTTAGCCAGAGACGCAAAGTTAGTGTATATAGTATATTGATGTATGTGTGTATGCATGTATGTATGCATGTATGTATGTATGCATGTATGTGTGTATGTGTGGTGTGTATATATGTGTCGAAACATAATTTAGTAATATAACAACAACAATAACATTAATAGTTTCATCTTTTGTTTTTGGTTTTGGTTTTTTTTTTTTTTAGTTTTTTTAGTTTCTTGTCAATTTGGCGCTTGGCTACAAAATGGAAGCATTATTTATAGGTTTTTTTTTCTTTTCTTAATTTTGCTTTTGCTTATTTTACTTCTTTTTTTTGTTGTTTTTTTTTTTTGATTCTTTTCAAGGGTGTTGGCAAAAACATTTTAATCGAATTAATATGACGATTATTACGAATAGGTAATAGCTAAATGTAAATACAAATATAAAACAAAGTTTTGTGTGTGTGTTTTTTTCTTTTTAGAATATCGTGTTTTGGGGAACTGCGCGTTTGTATATGTACATATGTATAGACATATGTATTAATATATATGTATAAATGTGTATATTTGACTATCTACTACTCTAGTAAATACTAGGCTAGAAATAACTATATGAGAATTGCTTTCATCTAGAAGGACACATAAATACATTACATTAGCGTAAATATCGTCTCTCAATTAACAAACATATTGATGTATACATCATATTTGATTTTTCGATTTTTCGTTTTTTTTTTGTTTGATATTTACACTCAATTGGCTGCGGATAATACGGGTAGACGAATACGAGAACGAGTACAATACAATATATAGAGATACGAGTATATACATAAATATATATTGATCGAAATCGTAATCGATAATGGGGCATTCGCTGCGCTGAATACACTCAAAAGAACACTCGATTTTTGTTAAATATATATATATGCATTTATATATATATACAATTTTTTTTTTGCTTGTAAATTGAGTGGTTTGATCAAAGAACTGGAAATGGAATGCGAATGCGAATGCGAATGAGCATACTCAAGCAGTGCCCATAAATACGAGTACTATCTAGTAATTAACCGTTAGACAATTCATAATTGATTATCAACAAATGTTGTACAATTTGATTATACAAAAGACTTGAATACCAATGCCAAGACAATTCAATAATTTCTTATCAACCTTACAGAGCGTCAAGAGTTGCAATAATGTTCGTCCGTTCGTTCGTCGTTCATTCATTCATAAGAAGCCAAAAGTCTGTACCTATATGTATATATACTATATAGTATGTATGTATGTATGTATGTATGTATGTAAGTAACTCCTGCATGGAATTTTAAATGTTAATATTCACTAATTTTGCTCAATTTTACAGTTACAGTTACAGTTACAGTTACAGTTACAGTTATCTTCCATTAAGGCATTCGTTAGATAGATCACACTCATTTGCTAAGGATCGTTGGTTGTTTTTTGTAATATATGTTGATGATTGAACGCAAGTTGTGAATGCCAATTTGACCCAAATCGGTGCCTCAATTTGTGTGAATCGCATGAGGCATTCTCTGTATTTTCTCTCCATATCTATATATAAAAGCTATGCGAAACTGAACGTGGAATCTAACACAATCTAGCAGCAAGGCAAAGCGAGCGATTGAGCAAATAGCAAATAGAGTAAGACAAGGACGAAGACCAGGGCAAAAAGGCAACGGATCAGCACCAGTTAGCTTCTTGAAGATATAGCGAGTTCGAGAGAGAGACAGAGAGACAGCGAGAGAGATAGAGAGTGAGAGTGGGAGAGAGAGAGAGGTTGAAAGGGAAGGGGACAGGTGAAGGTTAGTTTTTGTTTAGTTTAATATAGATTAGAGTTGGTTTTGGGGGGCTGTATCAGCATCAGTTTGAGTGGTGGTTGTCTAAGCTCATTATTGTTATTAATTCAAAATAGTGCTAGCTTTTCCGTATCGTTTAACCAAAAGTCAAATCACAGATCCAGCGAATCCGGCGGCGTCGGTCTAGTGGGCAGCATGCCAAATGGATCATCGACAACGACGCTATCATCATTATCATCGTCATCATCGTCATTATCGTCATCATCATCATCGTCATCATCGTCACTGTCATTGTGTTGGGCAGTTGTTTGGGCACTGGAGCCGGCACCGCCGACGCCATCGCCCAGAAAGATGCATTCCTCGACATCCGTGTCATAGCACGGATCGAGATTCACCTCATTCAGCTGCAGATCCAGCTCTAACAAATCCCATGAGCCACCGAATTCCGCTAACGGTATATTGGCGGCACGGCCAGAAGATGTTGTTGTTGTTGCTGTTGCTGTTGCTGTTGTTGCCGGCACAAAGTCATTGGAGAAGGCATCCGAGTTGCATATCTGCGAACTGGGCGATATATTCGGCGTGGGTGTTTCCGGTGTGGTCAGCGACACCTGCTGACCATGCGGATGGGCGGACTCATCGATAAACGAGCGACCCACCGAACTGAGACTGAACTCGAGCATCTTGCGGGCATGTGTCGGAGCTGTCGACATCGCTGCCGGCTCGCTGCTTGCCTCTGGTATCGCTGTAAGGCACTTGCTGCTGGCGGTGGGCAAAGATTGCACCGAATTTTGTGTCTGTGTCTGTGTCTGCGTCTGTGTCTGTGTCTGTGTCGAGATCTGCGTTTGGGTCTGAGCTGTGTGCTGAGTTGTCAGGCTAACGATGCTGCTGCTCAAACAGGAGCTGTTGGTGTTATAGCGTCGCAGCAACGAGCTATCACCGACACCACCCCCGCCAGCAGCACCAGCACCACCAACCCCATTGGGCATGGATCCACCACCGCAGCTGCCCGACTGTCGGGCGGGTGAAGTGGTGCGCGATGGCAGCGATGCCGAACATATCTGAGCCGTTTGGGTGCTGGCCGTAATTCGAGCATGGACATGGGTATGGACATGGGCATGGGCGTGACTGCGGGCAGAGGCTGGGGAGGGGCCGGTGTGGGGCGTCGGGACCAGTGCACTGGCCAAACGCTGCAGATTCTCATAGGAATCGGCGCTATCCAGACGCTTGCTGCGAAAGAGACGCACCTGCTGTTTCTGCTGTTTCAAGTTGATGCTGTCCAGCGATGGCAGCTTCATTGAGCCCATCGATGCGGAGGTCATCCCAATGTCACTCAGCGGCACCAGCGTGTTCAGCACATCCGGCGAGTCCAGCGGACTGGACAATGGTGTTGACCCCAAGGCGGCATTCACCAAAAATCTGCAACGAAACAACGTAAAAAGTTTCAAAACGAATCCATAAAGTGTTCCAAAACAGTTTCCCCCTAAAAGCTGACTTAATGCACATAGATCAAGTTAGTAGTTAACAGTGGAATCTCACTTTTTTTGGTTATCCATTGAAAAAGTTCATTCAAAAATATTCTAAACATGTTAAATATTGTGAAGATTTCGATTTTCTATAATTTTTTTAATTCTTCATTATATATTTTGTATTAACTACTCCTATTATAATATGATATAACTCTTTAGTTTCTTTTGTTTTCGGTTTATAGATCTACTCGTTAAGGATCGTGGGATTTTGTAAAAAGTGCCTAGCAAATCTGAATGAAACTGAAATGTGCCAATTGATTTTTGTGAGTGATTTGAAGGATGGCTCATATTGAGGGGATTCAGTGGGGTTTTTAAGGGTGATTTTGCTGATGCGATTTATTTTGGGAAGGCAGTTTTCTTAAGTTTGACTCACATTTGACGCTGCAACAGATTCTGCCAGACGGCCTTTAGCTCCAGTGATGGGGCGCGCAGGATCAGACTTTTTCGCCTCGCGCCACGCCTGGGCGTGCGCGTTAAGTCCGGAGCACAATAACCCGTCGGGCTTTCAGCCAGTCGACCATTGGGATCCACAGTGAGACGAAACTCGGTAGCTGTCGAATGGTTTATAGATTAATGATTGGAAATACGCGTTTCAGATTGAACTCACTCTTCTTGCGCATGTGAAAACAGGAATCGACCACATTGGCAATGGGTATGGGCTCCTCGGTGATGAACAGCACCCGATCCCGACTGACCTTGGCAAACACAATGATGTCGCTGAAGAGCAGCGTCCAATATGGTTTAATTGACCGACCCTCGACCCGGGACAGATCACCGCCGAATATCCATTGGCGGCCCTGGACGGCCAACGTGAACGGTTTGCATTTGGTGAAGACCATCCGGGATTCGAGATCCTGCAGAGTCAACAGTGGACGACCCTCGCCCAGTGGCTCCATCAGGCCGCTGCTGACGGTTATCTCGCGATAGGCAGCCTGCAGCTCACCGATCACAGTGCTAAAGTTCTTGTGCTCCTCCGTATCGACGTGACAGTTGCTTGCGAGCAGCTGCATCAGCTTGAGAATTTCACGGAAATGCTGTAGCGGTCGGTGTATGAACATGGTGAGATCGGGTCGCTTCCGTGGCACAGCCGGCTCTGTGATAAACGCTATGAACTCGGAGCCCGCCTGCCGTGACTTATTGACCAGTACGCAATCGGCCCGCTTGATGCCATTGCAATATTTCTTGTAGGCCGCACATATCGCCGTCGTCTTGGACAGATAGACGCGTGAGGCGAAGTTCATGTGCGGCTCCTGATCCTGCGGATCGTTGCTGCACAGCTGCTCCAGTATGTCCTCGGCAATGCGCAGCAGCTCATCGATGTTCTGGAACAGAGTGCGATGATCATTCGGCGATATCAGATCCTTCCGATCCGACAGAGGCTGCACAAAACGCTGCACCCCAAAATGTAGAGCAGCCGTAAAGTTCTGCTCCCGACTGATGAGCTGCAGCAGAAAGCGACGCCGATTATCCGTTATGGGCACAATCGACTGCCGATCAATGTGGGGCGGGGGAGAGAGAGAGAGAGAGAAAGAGAGAGAGAGAGAGAGATGGAGAGGGGCTTGTTAGCTTAAATGAACGAACTGCATGCCGAGCATTTGTTATGCAAACTATGCCCAATATTTAGCAATCTTTTGGAATATCTGTTTGAGTTCAGTTGTGACAAATTAGGATTTTGAAAGCATTTGAAAGTTGTATAAAATTAAATGCAAATAGGCCACTTCTCTCATTGCTACAACCAGCTCATTCTTCTATATAGATACGATCTAAAGCAAACTGAGTTTTCGAGAAATTACCTAATTTATATATATCCTTGTAGAGTGTATTATATTTGTGTTGTGAAGCTTGGAAGTCTGCCCCCATTTTTGCATGCATTCTTTTATTTAGTTTTTACTGCCAGATTTGTAAAGCCATCGTTTTGCAAATTGGTAAATAATAATCTTGTGGAATCCACCTGCCTCTTACAATATATCTACACAGTTTCAAAATTATTCAATTCGCTGACTGTCCGGAAACGGAAAACTTTAACTAGTTTAATTCTGATCTGCAAGGGTATATAATTTTCTTTCTTGTTTTTTGTATTTGCCCGAAACTAAAAGAGAGACAGAGACAGAGAGAGAGAGAGAGGGAGCGAGCGAGAAAGTCTTCGAAACCCCCAAAACTATGCTGTGCAAAACATGAAAAAGAAATGAAAAATCCAATTAAAATGGCGCTAGAGTGAATGCAAACAAGTTGTGGGAGTTGATTACACTCGTCTGGACAAAGGCACTCTAAGCATCCGCCAGATTCCAGCTTCCAGCATTCCGAACTCCCCTTTGACCCTTTCTTCTAAATATGACCAACCAAAAGCGAAGCAAAACAAAGCCAAATACAAAAGAAATAAAAAAATTCAATGTAAAAATCACATAAAACCGAAAAAATTTTTATTGTTAAGCGAAAGGCGTGAACTTATTTGTGTGTGTGTGTGTGTGTGTGTATTGGGGGAAGCAGGCTTAAAAAAATGGGCAGCAAAATATGAGTATATAAATATAACCACATGACAAAAACTTAAACGTTAAAACTTAACAATAATGCGCTTAAAATATGTACAAAGTGTAAAAGAAAAAAAAAAAAAATTGTTTTTATGCTTTAAAATAATGACAAATTCAATAAAAGCTTAACTAAAAATTAGGTGCATGGCTGAGGTTGGGATTAGTGGTTAGGGGTAAGGGGTTAGGGGTTAGGGGTTAGACAATGACGCCCTTGCCTACCTCCTTGCTGAACGTAACCTGAGGCAGATGCAGTCGCCGCTTGGCCGCCTCAATGGATGAGTTGGTGCCGGAGCAGGCGGTCGCCGGTCTGGACATCGTGCTGCCCAATAGCTGTGGACGCTGGACGCTAATTCCCGTACGCTGAACCATCACACGGTCCGGACCACTGCTCGTTGTCTGCTCCTCGCTGAGTAGTCCACACAGCTGTTGCTGCTGCTGCTGCTGCTGTTGACGCTGTGGCTGAGATTGCTGCGACTGGATGTGGATTGGTGTCTGCTGGGACTGCTGCTGCTGCTGGTGATTGTTCGTGCTGGTGCTGATGGTGCTGATGGCATTGACTGTTGCCGTCGTGATGGTGGGATGCGTGCCGGCGATGCTGGCGCCCGCGCCTGACCTTCTGAATATCTCCAACGTCAAGGACGAGCCCTGCGATCGTATCAAATTCAGAACATCAGCCTCGGGCATCGTGACCACATTGTGCTTGTCCACAAAGATGACATAGTCGCCCGGCAATATGCCGCATCGATCCGCTGACAGGCCACCCTCGACTTTTTCCACTCGCGGCGGATGCGTCCACACAATGGAGAAACCAAATCCGCGCTCCTCCGTTCTAGTCAAACGTTTCGTCATCGTGAACGGCGTCCGACCCGTCGGCTGGCGTTGGACCAGTGTTGAGCAGCGGCGCGTATTGCTGCCATTCATATGATTTGCATTGCTGGCATTGGCATTGGAAGCATTGGACGCACTGCCGCCGCCTGGAAAGCCAGTGATATTGCCAGTGCCGATGCCTGTGCCATTGCCAGTGGTGCTATTCGCATTCCCATCAGCGGGCGGATCAAGTTCGAGGAAACGCAAAAAGAGATTCTCATCGGCATCGCGCTGATGCAGCGCCTTCTTGCTGAGCACCATCGGCTGATGATGTGACAGCTGCTGCTGCTGCTGCTGTTGCAGCTGTACTTGTATATCATCCTTGCCAACGACTGTCATGCTATCAATGCTGATGCTGATGACATCATCACTCATAGCAGTAGCACCAGCACTAGCACTACCAACAGCAGCAGCAGCGGCGGCGGCGGCGGCATTTGGTTTCATTGGTGCCGCCATCGTTGACATATTCGATATAACGGCCACTGCTGTGGGTCTAACTAAGCCGGATTGCGATTTCTTCTCGGGCTCCAGCTCCTGCACCTGCACCTGCTCCTGCTCCTTATCCTGCTCCTTCTGCTCCTGCTGCTGCTGCTGCTGCTCCTCCTCCTCCTCCTGCCCGAGATGTCGACGGTGGCTGGCGGTGCTTGTGAATGTAACGTTGGCTGTTGGTTGGGCGGCGTGCGATTTGATGCGGCAGCTATGAAGGCATCCCTGCGAGTGCAACTTGTACGATCCCGTTGCGCAATGGCTCTGCTGCACTAAAGCGCTCAATGGAAATGTGAGGCAGCCCAGGAACTCACTGCTTCTGTAAACGATGAAACACCAAATAAATCTCAATCAGTGAACAGCAAAAAAAAAAACAAGAAAACACAAACTAAATTATAAAAGCTATACTTGATAGCCAGTTGATAACTCCAGACCCAGTTAACGTCACCCAACGAAAGGTGGAGGTAATTGGTTGATTTCTCATTATTAGATAATAGCTAACAAATGGAATTGTATTACACCAACATTAAAAATACCAATTAGGAAGGCGCCAGCAAAACGAAAGGGTTTCGAAAAATACCCACCCCCATCCGATAATGCTGGTGGCGGAAATGACTTGCACTATTATCCTGAGCAAAGAAAAACATTTCCACAGAGAAAAACATTTCCACAACCAGCCAGCTGGGAAACTAAATCCAAATTGATTCTAAAGAAAGCTAAAGGAATTCTCAGCACTCTTGCAATTCGTGATAGAATTGGGGCCAATGGTGAAGCTTAAGGTTTGCCAGTGTTATATGTACGAATAGATCTAACAGATAGCAGTACACATAGACACACAGACACACACACACACACACACACACGCAAAATAGTTGGCATTTATAGCCGAACGGCAGCCGACCTTTTTAGGGCAGTTTCCAATTTGCTTTCAGGTCTTCAAGCACCCAACAATTCAAACAAACCCTGTACAACTTTTATGACTGGACTAGCCTTTAAAAAAATAAAAATAAAAAAAATGAAACATGTAAGCCAGCTCTAGTCGAGAGCGCTCGACTAGTTGATACCCTGACAATGCTCTGTTTATAAGTATGTATGATATGATAAATATGAAAATCGACTTTCCTCAAGTGTTTTCTTTGCCGATGATCAGAATCATTAGAAAGTTAAATCTATAAAATTGCCGACTTTTTTGGTCTTGACGGAAACGGGGAATATTATAGATAAAATAAAGTAATATTGATTTACATCAGGAATATATATGAATTTGCTGAGTTTAGAGATGCTTTCGCCTGCACAACTTTATTATACCCAATTTAGCCACTTTTAATCGGTTCAGTGTATAAAAAAAGTAGAAAGTAGAAAGATAAACAATTCAACGCTGTCGAACACTGTAGAAATGTGTTGCATATGACCAAGGCGACACAAGGAGTTTTGGGGTTCGGGTCAAGCCGCGAATTTTTGATTGCTTGAATGTGTGTGGTTTGATAGGATCAATTTTGGACGCTTTTGCGTCACGTTGCACTGACATTTTGTTTACTATTTATATGCACCACCACTGTGCACCCACTCACACCCACCACCCAACTAATTCCACACGTTTGCTCGTAACACTTCCGCCGACCTTATCCCCCCCTCCCACCCACCTCCCCCGTTCCCAGCACTCGCTGCCCAGCCACAGAGCAGCTGCGGTACGTGACATAAATCAATTAGCGGGCCGTCACAGCTGTCCCTGGCCTGGCATTCCCACAGATCCACAGCTACGCAACTCAAGCCCCGGAAATGCGCCTTGGCCCTCAGTTTATCTACTTTTTTTTGTTGTATTTTTTACTGTTTTTGTTTTTTAAATTTTTTTTTTTTTTTTTGTTTTTTTTTTTTTGCTCTGTCTCTGAAGTTTTGCCCGCGCAAGTATTTGGGTCAGTTTTATTGATTTTCATTTGCTGCTTGCTGCAGCAGCAGCAGCGCTTAAGTTTTGCGATTGCAATCACAATTGTCAGACAGACAGTTGGGGGGATAGGCCAGGCAGAAGGGGAGAGAGCGAAGCGTTTTTTGGGTGGCAAACGAGCACGCACCCCCGCAAATGGGGCCAGTGCATTAAAAATGTAGAAGGCTGCAAAGAAACTGTTGCCACCTGACGAGTAAACTACCAAAAAGGCTTGACTGGTTGGGCAACCCTTGCCACATGCCTCAAAAAAGCGGCCAATGAATTATTTAGCAAAAACTGTCGTTTAGCAAATTTGCTTAAAATGTTTAACGAGGCATTTGGAAATGGGCAGCAACAAAAATACTAACAAATGCTTATCATTATGCATGCATGCACAAATGTGAGCTGTGCATATATATATATATATATGTGTGTGTGTGTGTGTGTGTGTGTGTGTGTAAGATGTCCCAGGTGTGCATTTAGTTTAGTTGCCTTTAAACAATTATAATGGGAATTTTATAGCATTTGACCTGTGGCCATTGCATAATGAAGCGCGCTTATCGATTTGACATAAACGATAAAGCGGAATGAATAGCGGATGTGACGGACTGACGGAATGACTGTATGACGGAATGACAGAATGACGGAATGTATGAGACGGCTGAGTGTGTGAGACGGTGAAAATGCGTGCGTTGGGCGCCAGTTGTCATGTCCTTGAATTTCAATTAATTTGGCCACTGTGCGCGTTGAAAACGACATTCACACGCAAACAACCGCACACACACACACACACACACACACAGCACGCACACACACACACACAGCACGCACACACACATGCAAATACGGCTGCCTACAATTAATAAGCAGCATGCCTGAAATTATGCTACACTCAAATGGAAACGAGCTGAAATACTGGCACGCACACACAAACAGTTATATAATTTGGCGTTGCATACTTTTTGGCTGGCCAACATAATGAAACGAATTTCAAAATTGGAAATAAACACACACATGTAACACAATTGCTGCTGCTGCTGCTGCTGCTGCTGCTGCAAAACAACAAACAAAAAAAAAACAATGTATATACATAACGTATATATACATATATACACATATATATACATACATACATATATATATACATACATACATATATATATACATATATAAGTAGGTAGATTTAAATGTAGCTTGAGTAAAAATTATATTTTTCTTTTTTGTTTTATATATTTAGGCACACACACTTTTTCGCATTTGTTGTTGTTGTTGTTGCTGGTGTCGTTGGTGTTTTTGGTTAGCTGCTAACACGCCGTTGTCGTTTTTTATATTTAATTGGCCGCAGCGTTGCCAGCCTGCGCCGAATTTTGCGTCTGCGTCGCGCGAGCTAAACACTCGAACTGAGCGCACTGTGCTGCCAACCAGCAGCGAACCCGATGTCCAAAAACGAAACCAAAATCCAAAATCACACTGAGCAAAGCCAAAGCCAAAGGCAAACGCAAAATGCAAAACCCAAATAACTGGAGCCCAGGCAAAAATGTTACAGTTGGCTGGAAAGCGGCCTAGAGACGGTGGCCAAAACGGTTAACAGCGCATGCGCTGGATGTGCGTGTGTGTGTGTGTGTGTGTGTGTGTGTGTAATTGTGGAAGTCACAGCAGGGAAAGGCAGCAACAACAACATCCAACGCAGACCAACCACCCCTGGCACCCCCCCTTGCACCCACTAAAGGGGCACTGCATTTGTTGTTGATGTGCAGCAAATGCACAATGGCAAAGTGTGCTACAGGAAAACGTTACAATTAGACTGAGAGACTGGAGCGCAAATCAAGGCAAGCCAAGGCAATGCAAGGACTTTGCCTTAGCCTTTTGGCTGGCAAGCGACGCAGTCCCACTATGTGTGTGCCCTGTCAATTGGGGGTGAATGACACGCACTTTGCTGCAGAGCAGACAGCTTATGTTATGTTGATGATGTTGTACATGGTTAAATTGGATGACTGCTATTGACCTTACTCGTACTCACTTTAAATGACGATCCCGATGCCAAACGGCCAGCTGCAGTTGCATCGGCTGCGGCGACTGCGACGTGGACAGCATAACATCCTGGAGATGGTAGCTAAAGCGCTCATCAAAATACGGACGACTCGAATGGCGATGGACGGCGGTCCGCTGGAAGCGACTCGAACTGTTGCTGCCTGCGCCGCTGCCACTGCTGCTGTTGTTGCTGCTGCTGTTGGTAGTTGTGGTGCTGATGGTGCTGCTGGTGCTGCTGTTGATGGTTGCCAGGGCCACCTTGACGTACGCATTGATGCTGCCCGTGCCGTGTGTGCGCTGCAGATCGCGACAGCGTATAACTGCAATAAATAAATATAAATAGATTTTTCAGTTGCAGCGATTTCTTTTGCAGCAAGATCGAGCGGCATTCACCAAAAAGAGTGAATGCCGCTCGGCACTTTGAGTGGGCATCTCTGGAACTCACCATGTACATTTAATTGTTGCTGTTGTGCATCGTAGCCGATGCTCAAATCAATGCTGCCCCTTGCATGTGGATGTGGATGTGGCTGATGCTCGCCATTGCTTGCGCAAGCTGAGGCAAAGGCTGAGGAGGTGGCGGAGGCGGAGGAGGAGGAGGAGGAGGCACAGGATGCCATGGAGCCGCGTTTGGCAAAGTGCTCGTCATCCTCCAGATCGCTGGATGCGGAACTCGAGGAGAAGCTGAGGCAACGCTTAATGCTGGGTATATGCTCCAAGCTGGGTGGTCTGTTTGCCAATTGCCCCAACTTCTGACTGGCCACTTGGCCCTGACTGTCGTTGCGTCTGTGCTGCTGTTTGCTGCTCTTCTGCTGATTCTTGCGCCGCACCACACGCTGCCGCTTCAGGTGTGTGGGTGTGCGCACCTCCATCTCATGGACGCTGCTCTCGCTCCACTCCCCATCCGCCAGCGTTGACGCTGATGTTACCGCTTGATGCTTGCAACGGACCTCTTTGCGCGCCGACTCAATGATCGCGTCCAGCATGCGATCCAATGTGGTATCACCCATTCGCGACGATGACAATTGTGAATCCTCCAGACTGACTGCTGCTGTTGCTGTAGCTGCTGCTGCTGCTGCTTGTGCCTGTCCAGGAATGCGGGGCAGGCAGCGCAGCGCTGCCAGTTGAGGCGTCGCTTGACGTGGTCCGCTGCCCTCACTGAAGCTGCGACGCTGCGGACTCTTGCCATGCACATTGCTCAGGTCCTGCAGGGCAATCAGGCTGCTGTTGCCAAACGGGCTGCTCGTGAAGTGCACACCAAAGTTCTCCTTGTTGGCATCGTCGCCGGGCATTGCCTTATTGCGCCGACGGCCGCGCGTCTCCTCGACGCCATTACTTGAGCTCGAGTGCCGTTGCATCCGTGTCATTGTGGGCATGACCTTGCCCAGCTGCGCATAAGCATAATAGTAACAAATAAGAGGCAATTGCATCAAATTGCATTCCGCAACAACAACAAAAATCAACAACAAATATAAATAGTTTTGAAAAAAACAATCTAGAATGCCTCGGCTAAGAGATACCCTGCACCCAAGTCCTCACTTATCATTTTCAATGGATTGTTGTAACCGATTGGATTGTACTTAACCTAAGCACCTATTCAGTCTGATCCATCTAAAAGTGCATTTGGATAGCCAACATGAGAATATTTAATTATAAAGCGATTTGTTGTGGATTTTGCTAACAAACTAACTACCCCTAACTATATGCCTACTCTCAGCTGTTATAACTAAATCAATTTCCTCAAATGACTTCATAGATCATATATAAAGTATGAATGGATCTTAGTATATATATATATATATTTTTACCTAGCTAATTGCATCACACAAACTGAATTTGTCGCCATCTTAAATGCGACCCCGAACTTAATGCGGCTACTTAATGCTACCCTCCCCTGTCCTCCACTGCCCTTCCCTGCTTAAAATCGAACTCATTTTAAATCAATGTGTCAACATTAAAGTTTATCAGTTAATAAGATTAGATCTCATAATGACAAAAAGTGCTTGAGGAGTTGGCCTGTTATCTGGGCCAAGACAGACAGACAGACAGCTGGCCGCAAGCGCTCGTCTCGACGGGTTTTTGGGCATTGCCAAACTGGCTGACAATTTGATGCAAACGGGCAAGAAAGCAAGGAGGTATGTGTCTTCTATATATATATATATATATATATATATATATATATATATATACATATATGCATTATGCGAGCATGTTTTCATATGTAGTAGTAATGAAACGGTCCATGACAATGGGCAACAAACCAAGAAATTTTGCAAATTGTTTTTTTGCTTTTTTTCTTCATTTTTTGCCGCAAACGAGTTCCTTACGTACTCGTCCTGCAACTGCTCCTACTCTTCGTCCTCTTTGTCCTCGTGGTTTGGTTCTCTTGCAATTTCAGGTTTGCCTTTCAAAATTCAAATTATACTTATGCTAATTTTCAGAACAGATTCGATATATATATATGTATATATATATATATATATATACGACATATATGTTTTTTTTTTGCCGCAGCCGCAGCCGCAAACCATAAAATTGAGCGAGTCCTTGTGCAGAAAGGATCTGTGCGCTGCATGCGTGTGTGTGTGTGTGTGTGTGTGAAACAATTACGCCCCATCATAATGATGCAATTTTTGCAAACAGCCAAATCCAAAGGAGAAACTGCTTGAAAGGATCGTCCGAGCAGAGCTCTCAATGCTATTCTGTTTATCTAGCTGCCAGGCGCACACACACTGACACACACACACAAACATACAGTGGAGAACATGAAAATAGGGTATTCATGTAATCCATAAACGTCACCCCGATGAAAATTGAAAATTGTGCACACAGCACACAGACAAGATGCAGCGAAGCGAGGTGAGCAAAAAAAATGTTTTTCCATTTACTTAAGAACGCTTCGATTTTGAAATTTTTCTTTGATATCCAAAAAATCGAAAACGAAAAAGGGAAAAAAAATCCCGGCTCGCTCCCTCTCGTCTGGGGTCTGACTTGTGCCCCGAGGATTAGCAGCTCACGCGGGGTAGCAAACCATCGGCGGCGGCGAAGAAAGTAAGGCAAAAAAGAAGGACGAGATCAAAAAAAAAAAAATGAAAAGAAAAAAACAGCAACAAATTAAATGTATTAGAACAGCGCAACACCCCTTTTCACCTCCTCGGTGATCTATGGATGGTAGTAATATGTGGGTCTAGGGGTTAGGTCTCAGGGGTTTTTTTCTTCTTCTTTTTTTTTGTACCTTCTTTCTCTTTGCTTGGCTAAATTAAAATTAGAGCTAGAGCAAAAGACAAATAGGGCATGGGTGCATGGGTGCGAGCGCAATATGTTTGCGTGTGCGTGTGTGTGTGTGTGTGTGTGTGTGTGTGTGTGTGTGTGTGTGTGTGTGTTGCCAGGTGTGGTGGCCGTGCAAACTGAGACTTGACCGAGATCTAAGATAGACATATCGCTATCGATTACTTACAATCTATGAACTAATCTAGACCATGCTCATTCATTCAAACATTGTAATACGATCTGTAAGGAACGGAAGGAATTTTGCTTACCTGTTAACCGGAGAGTTGCGCGCTCTTTCTCTCTCTCTCTATATATATATATATATATATATATATGTTATATAATTTGCGACTATGTCGCCTTGTGTGTGTTCGTATTCCTGCTGAAGAAAAGCACTTTCAGCTTCCAGAAATCTTTGACACTTTATCACCGTTAACGAACGAAAAAAAAAATATAAAAGAAAATACGAACTGAGTGAGAGCTTTAGAATAATAACTGTTCTTAGGTTAGTTGATCGATTGCGCAGCCGCGCCGCTTGTACGTTCGCAGCGCACGAGGCAACAAACGGAAATGAGGAGCGATGCACGCGTTCGTGTATGTTTATTCGTTTATTCGGGTTCGTTGTCGTTATCGTCTTCGGCAAAAACCGATCAACCACCGCGAGCCATCGTGCAAAACACGTGAAGAGAGCCTGAGAAAGAGAGTGTGTGCGCTCTCTCTCTCTGTCTCTGTTTGAGGCGCATGCATGCAGAGTGTCACAGATACTAATAAAAGTAGCCAGAAGCGTGGACAAAACGAGGAGAAGTGATTGTCCATTGTCCTTTAGGGTTACTAGAAACTTCATTCGATTGATTTTGATTGGAGCATATGGCAATCTGAGGATCTATTATAGAGATATGAATGCTTGAGATATAAATTTAGTGTATATTAGGTTTTAAGCTGCAAAAGGCTTTAAGACAAGTGTTTTAAACGCGTTTGATACTTCCTTTGATGCACTTTCCAGAAAACTCTCTTTGCAATGATTTAGGCGAGCTGCCGCTACTCGCCGCTAGAGGCGCCCGCTTAAGAGCTGCACATGTGATGCGCTCTCTTAGAACCACTTCCCCTTTTCTGTTCTCTCTCTTTCTCTCTATCTCTCACTCTCTTTTGGACGCTGTGCCTTACCTGCCGTGTCCTTTGTTCCGGCCAGCTTTGCTTTGCCGTCAGATAATGCGTCAACAGCTGCCGAACACTAAAAATACGACAAAAAAAAAAACAAAAAAAGAAGAAAGAATAGAAAGGAAAGGTAAGAAAAACCCACACGGCGGCAAGACAACGTCGCAAGGTGTCTTAGCCCAGATTTGTCTCGTGTGTTGTTATTTTCATTTCAAATGCGGCACGAGAACCAACAGAATGGTCCAGGCAGAAAGTGGAAGGAGCAGCTAACTCAGAAATAGAATGAACGGTAGCCTAATGTCTCTGTCCAGCGCTGATCTTTAGGCTGGAGCGGACAACGGACAACGGACAACGGACAGCGGACAGCGGACAGTGGTCATTGCTTTCACTTTGATATTGATTTTGTGCTCCTGAGCCTTTTGTACGTAGGCGGCTGTTATCCACTGCCAATTTACGAGCCGGCAAAGAGAAAGATATATATATAGAAAAATATATATGGTTGTATAGGAAGCTTCGGTCAATATTTGTCCAGATGCTGCGCTGCATTCTCGCTCGTGCCTTGCATTAGCAGCCGTTGAGTTTTTGGCCCAATTGTTGGCCAACAATTTATGCGCTGCTGTCCATTTTCAGATTTTACGAGCACTTGGACAACATTTCGACCTGGCCCGAAAAATCATCATTGAATGAAGGCGCCTCGACTCAACACGATTCCCATTTGCTCTGTGGCTGTCGGGGTGGGGGTGTGGATGGGGGTGGGGGTGGGGGGTGTGGTTTGTTGGCTGCAGTTCGTAGAAATGTCCTTGACAATCATCAAGGATTGCAGCACTAAAGTCAAGTCACGGCAACTCACTCGAGTGCACAGCTGCTGCTGCTGCAGCAATTGAGCTTCTATTTAGTATTTGCTCAGCTGCTTGAGAAAATAGAAAATGGAAAATTGAAAATGGGAAATGGAAAGCATAAAATAATTCACAGTTATTTAATGAGCGGAATTATGCTAAGCTTGAGCGCTCAAGCGGAAATGCTTGATGATGACTTATTGATATTATTGCATTAAGGACACATAAAATCATTTTCAAGCAGATTGATTCACAAATACGAAGATCTGATAATTTCGCCAAGTGTTTGCTTAAGAATAGTTCCAAATCGAAGCTGATTGTATACCCTAACAGACGAGGTATTCCAACATTGTCGTTAGATTTTAAAGGAGGCGCCTTCGAACTCCGATGCAACTTGGATTATGTTCTTAGTATTTCTTTCTCAGTATTTCTTCATCAAATCGAGCTTCGAGTTTTAAAAATTTAAAAATACAAGCAGGTATACATATATCTATATATATATAGACAACACACATCCATGTTACAAATCACTTTCCCCTATTCTAGTCAACTCAAATAAAATGTTGATCAACTCTGGCCGATTTATCTTTGATCAATATTTATGCTTTTCACTGCTGTAATCAATATGATTTTCATTCGATGCGTTTTCGATTTGAATTTCAATCAGATTTTGTTTGTTGTTGTTGCTATTTTGTTGTATTCTGCACATCATTAAAATGAAAATTAGCAAAAACAAGGAGTGAGCCGAGTTTGGATTAAGAATTGAAGGGTTATCCGCTATCTCATTGCCCCTCGGGGTTGATATGCTTGCAACGTGTGCGGACCACTTTGTTGCTCTTGTTGTTGCAAGGCATATTGCAAATTTATCTAAATCGTTTATAAATTCAATTTCCCACTAAATATATATATATATATATATACATATGGATAGAAGGGGTGAGGGCTGATCGTTGAGCGTTGAGGGGCTGAGGCGATTTTGCCAAACTAATTGCAAATGCATTTGACACTCGGCCACCGAAATCGGATCACAGATCTGACAACCCCTTGACATATGCGGTCTGTCTGTCTCTCTGTCCCTGTATGTGTGTCTGTGTGTGTCTGTGTGTGTGTGTGTG